AAAATTTGTATGGTTTGACTCGTGGTTAGATGGACGTTCATATTTTGGAAAGTACTGTATTTGGACTTAGCTGAGAAACTCGTCACTACTTTCAGTTCTTTATTTATTATTGTTACTTACTGAGTTGGTTGTACTCATACTACACCCTGCACTTCGTGTGCGCAGATCCAGTTGATCCTGGACACCCCGGGTGTTGATTCTTTCACACAATTGACTTTCCAGAGATTCAGAGGCAGCTGTTATGTTTCACAGACATTGTCTCTCCTTCTCTATCCTTTTGTTTATTATATTTGGTATCGGATTATTATAGACCGGGTTTCCCAGACTTGTAATGTATAGATGCTCATGTACTCAGTGACACCGAATTTTGGGAGTGTATTTATTTCTAATATTTGTGAGATTTACTCTTAAACTTAATTATTATGTTTTCAGTATTTAAAAGAAATTATGAGTTATTAATGTTGTCGGCTTGCCTAGTATCGAGATAGGTGTCATCACGACGGGTGAGATTTTGGATCGTGACACGTTTGTGGGTGATCGACCGTTTGAGCTTCTAGTCGTGGTGAACTTCACGTTGTTGATGGAAGCGTCATCTCCACCGTCGATTATCATGTGGATGGTGCAGGCTTCAGCGGCCCTTGATGTTGTTCGCGTCCCCTCGCAAAGTTGGTCCTTCCCCGATCGCTCAACAATTCTCTGAGGTGTCTCTGTCACAATATGTGTACGACCTCCTGTCTTAGGGCGATGTAATCTTCTATTTTGTGTCCTCGCTCTTGATGGAACTCGTAGAGGGTGTCTGATTTTTTGGTATTCGGGTTCGACCTCATCTTTTATGTCCACTTAACCTTTAGTCCGAGCTTCTCTAAGGCGTAGACGATCTCTGTAGTTGACACACAAATATTATGAGCGGATAGTAAAGGGGGCATACCTCTTTCATTCTGGTGAGTACCTGTTCTTGATCGGGGTGGGCCTTCTTCATGGCGAGGTGAGGATACAACGTTAGTTCTGACATATGCAAATGTCATTCCCGGTTTGGGCATGAGGCCGCTGGATCTCTTCTGATATCACTTCTCCGATCTTTCCTGGATTCTGCTTGTACTGAGGTCAGTCAATGAGTCGGCCCATTGAGGTCATCTTCGTCTGCTCGAACTTCGGCACAGTATGCATTATGTATTTCGTCCCAAGTTGTTGGGGGGTATTTCATAAGCCGACTTAATAATTTTCTTGTTTCTCTTGATCCATTTCTGTTCAATCCGTTTTGAAAAGCGGCTACTGCCATTCCTTCTGATACATTGGGCAAAGTCATTCTCACTCGATTAAAACGGGCAAGGAAGTCCCTCAGTCCTTCTCCTCGGGACTGTTTGATAGAAAATATATCATTAACTCTTGCCTCGGTCTTCTTGGCCCCGGCATGGGCCGTCACGAACTTGTTGGCCATTTCTTCGAAGGTTTCGATAGAACGAGCTGGCATTTGCGAGTACCAGGTTAATGCCTCTCCTATGAGGGTTTCGCCAAATTTCTTCAGTAGGATGGATGATACTTGTTCTTTGGCGAGGTCATTGCCTTTCATAACGGTGACGTAGTGGGTCACATGATCCTAGGGGTCGGTCGTGCCATCATATATTTTCAGGTAAGGCAGCATTTTGAAAGTCTTTGGTGTAGCATATGGGGCAGCACTATCACTGTACGTCTGCTTGACGAACCGACCAGCATCTCTCTTCGACAATACTTTAGGAGCGCCCGATATTTTATCGACCCTTTCTTGGTGCTCTTTCATTTGATCCCGAAGTGCCATGTTCTCATTTTCCATTTCCTCCATCCTTTTCAGAATGGTTGTGCGAGTGTCATCGCATGCACTATTAATAATATTATAAGTGATACTTGTCGTCGCGGGTGGGGAGGAGGTTGATCATGTAGCTCGTTCATTGGTGGTGCAGCACAGGTTCTCGCATTTGCTGCGGCCGCGTCCTGAACGGGTTTATGAAGGATGTTGGTCAGTGTATCAATCAGCTAGGCCTCGAGGAGTTTCTTTATTGCTGGCGGTGTCTCCTCCCACACGGATGTGGAGGCTATCTTGCCAAGAAATTTTGTGATGCTGCAGTGGGGAGGGGCGATCCACCTCGCCTAGGGGAGGCATTGGGCGTTGTGTCCTTGTCCACTGCTTCAGAGCTCTCGTGGATGATGTCCATGAGGTTGGTTGGGAGGTCACTCATTATTCTCGTTCTTTCTTCTCTGTTACCTGCCATGTTAGATCTGTGCATGCAGAGAGAAAAAAGGTTCTTCTTTTCGTTTTTTACGTCAGCAACCAGTGTCGGTAGTAGATCCGATAATAGATAGGTGGGATGAGTATTTTGTCTGACAATGATGAATGACATATAGGGGTGTTCATAAAAACTTGAAAAACTGAACCAAACCCAAAATCGAACCAAACCGACCAAAAAAACCGATACTTCTTAGGTTTGGTTTGGTTTTGGTTTTGAATTTTAAAAACTAATCAAATTTGGTTTGGTTTTGGTTTTAATAAAAAAATAACCGAAAAAACCGAACCAAGCCGATTATAGAAGTAGCTATTTAAATTTATTATTACACCTATATATATATATTTTTTATTTTTTTATTTTTTATTTTTATATAAAGTTTCTAAAATATTATGGTACATATTAGTCGATTATATTTTAAGTTTAGTTCTTTGCTATTACAATAATCTAATTCTTTGCCTTTACATTCTAGTTTGATTGATAGTTTGCTTTTGCTAAGTACAAGAATTATTTCATGTTAAAAATAATCAATTTTTAATTGAGTACTTAAATTATGCATTATCATCAATATATCATGGTAAATAATAGATTTCTCAAAGAGCAATTGGTTTGATAGTGTCACATTGAAAATGTAATCGCCGGAATATGTGTTTGGTAGTGTATGCCCGATAAATAACCGAAAAAACCGAAAAACCGATAAAAACCGACAAAAACCGAATCGCTAAAAAGCTGACTTAATTAGTTTGGTTTGGTTCCAACATTTTAAGAACCGACTTACTTGGTTTGCTTTATTTTTAGGGAAAAACCAATCTAATCCGAACCATGAACACCCTTAATGACAGATTGATCCAAGATTCACATTGAACGATCCTCGGATCTGATAGAAAAGTGGGGAATAATATATGAACAAGAATATTTGTAAAAAGGTAATCTTTGTGTTTTTGCAGAGAAAGAATCCTCTTCTCAAAAGTCTTCTTATCAAAATCAATATTACCTGCCCTATCATTGCCTCTTTGTTCTATATATCTGGGGCCTTTTTCCTAGGAAATCCTAATAGTACAAATATAGGGAATATCCACTAGAATATTCCCTTTTAGTATCCTATCCTGACAAATTAGCCATTACAAGTCTTATTATCAATAGTCAATCTCGACCTCGACCCTCGCTGGCATCTTGATTGCGATTTGCCGACATCTCGACCACGACTCATGTCGCCACCTTGGCCATTGACCCCGTTGCGTCTTGGGCAAGCTCGACCGATAACTTTCTTTAATGCCATATTATGCTATATATTCTAAAGATATATTTTGACCTATACAAGAACAAAGAACAAATTCCAATAAAAACAAACAAAAAAGCACTAAGGAGTCATTTGATTTAATTTACCATACTAAAAAAATAATTACAATATAAAATTTCATATAAGCTAAGTTACTCAATATAATGTTGGTTGGCCATACAAGTTAGGTGAAAATATGTGAGTTATTCTACGCGGGAAATGTGGATTATTAGAGTAAGAGTAACAATAGAGAAAAAAGACAGAACATCACCATTATTTCAAATTTTAACGAGACTTATTAGGTGGTTAAAGTCTTGAACATTCGATACCCATATATTTTACATTGCATTGGTAAAAGTCACATCCAAGATTATCTGTACCAGTCACAGTTTCTTCTGTTTTAAATTTTTTAGATAAAGGGATTATTCTTTGTGTATCCATGTCCACATGTGCAATGCTGGCAAGATTCGAGGGCATAGCCTATAGGTGTACATAGGTCGGGTTGATTCGAATTTTTCAATTATCAAATCAAATCAATATTGTCAGGTTTTTAAATTTATAAACCAAACCAAACCAACAAAGTCGGATTTTTCAATCTCGCTTTCTTTGTACACCCCTAACATAGCCTATGCATCAAGTGGTCATTTAGTACAAAACATTATTATTGTAGGATAATCCATATAGGATAAGAGTTTCTCACCTTTTTAATTCTGTGTTTCTTAATTTATATTAAATGAAAACAAACATTAGGGTCCATCACTTATGTGTCTGATTATTAGAATTTAGAACCAAGAATCATTCCTTATCCAAATAATGGAGTTGGAAATGCTATACCATATTCGAAATAATTATCCACTTGTACCAAACAGTATGAGTTCTTCAAAGTTGCAGTTTGGTATTGAGTTGCTGTGCCCAACTACAACAGAGGCACTGGAATAAGATACTCTTACATACCAAAAGCACTATCATTATTTTAGACATAACCGAATAAGTCTTTTAAGTACCTTTAATGTAAGATTTTTCTGACATGAATTAGAATTTATTCGAGTCTAAGTACAAATACTCCCCCCGTTTCAATTTAAGTGAAACACTTTCTTTATTAGTTCAAAAAAAGAATGATACATTTTTATATTTAGAAAGAATTTAACTTTAAAATTTTTATTTTACCCACTTTACCTTTAATGAAACACTTTTATAACCACATATATCATGACTCTAATTGTAGCGGTTACTTCAACTTTAATTACAGATTTCAAAATTTTCGAATCCTAAAATTACAAAACTCTTGGTAATAAGCATTTGTACATTCTTAGTGAGCTATCGGGTCGGAGCCAAATTAGTTAAGCCAGCAAGTTTATACTTTATAATATGCTAAAAGCAACCAAGAAAAAGAAGAAGAAAAGAAAGAAAGTAGTATATAAAGAATATATATTTCTATAGCCTATATATACTCCAAGGTTGCCTCTAAAATCCCCACAATTTCAAAGCAAACATAAAAAAATAAGACCAAAGGAGGAGGAATCACTCCCTCACCCACCTATAACTTGCTCTGCTCTCTTCAACTTCTTTCCACACTTTTCTCTTCGACTACAACATTTTTACAAACAAAAATAACTTGTGATTCGAGTGGAGAAAGCACAAAAATCCACCAAACACCTCTTATCTTTCACTTGAAACCAATTTTTATTAGGAAAGTGAAAAATAAAAATATGGAATCCTTAAATTTCCACAATATCAAAATGGAGAAAGCAAACGCTATACTGAGATACAAAAAGCGTCAAAGAATGACAACTTTGTTTCGATTCATCGAATTCAGCATATTTTTGGTCATAATCTCAAGATTTTCCGCACAATTGCCACTCACTTTCAAGCTCTCCACAGAGTATTTCAAGGGACTTGGTGTCACCCTTATTAGTCCTCGATTCGTCTTCGTTCTTGGAAACGCGATTGTTATCATCCTCTTCTTGAAATCAGGACAGTCATCTGCTAAAGATGGTTCGACAAACAACGTTAAAATCGATTTGTACGATGAGTACAAGCAAAAATGTTCAATGAACAAAGAGACTCATTTTGAACAGAGCAAGAAACAGAGCATTTTGGTACAAGATACTTACTGTGAACAGAGCAAAAAACAGAGTATTTTGGTAAAAGAGGCTTGTTGTGAACAGAGCAAAAAACAGAGCATTTTGGTACAAGATACTTGTTGTGAACAGAGCAAGAAACAGAGCATTTTGGTGGAAAGACAAGTAGTAAAGAAAATTCGTCGTAGCCATTCGGAGAACTCTATAAGTTTGTCCCAAGATGAGAAAAAACCTAGAAGAGAATTGATCCGGTCGGCTACAGTAGGATGTCGGAAAGTTATAAACACTGACAGTGTAAAACCAACTATGACGATAACAACTACCTCATATCCAGAGGACGAGATGAGCGGTGACGAATTCAGGAAAACTGTTGAGAATTTTATTGCAAGACAACAGAGATTGTTGAGGGAAGAAGAGTTTTCAGCTGTTGATTCTTATGAATCATAGCCTATTAATTAGTTCATGTTCAAGTTTCATGTACTAGTTTTTGCTCTCTCCCTTTGTAAACTCTTTTTTTTCCCCTTGTTATGTTTTTAAGAAAAGCATATACATAGTACTCCTAGGTATTAGGCCCTCCTCCATATTGCTGGCTTGCTACAATAGATCTGTACAGTAATATATAATGATTAAAGCCATGGGAGGTTTTTGCAAATGTTACTTTGCCTAAGATCTTTGTTATTTTGTCTCATAAACTTACTTTTTGCTGCATATATTGCCATTTTTCCTTCTGTTATTCCTTTCTCACCAATCTTAGAACTAAAAGGCTTAGTTTGACTCTATTATTAGCAGCCGTTTGGTAGGATGGATAAATAAAAATAATTCTGAATCAAAAATTTAGTATCGCATTATTCCTTGTTTGGTTATTAATTCTGAGATAAGTTAATCCGCGATTAAAAATAGTATCGGGATAACTTATACGTGTCAGAGGATGAAATAGTAATCCTATAATAAGCTATCTCAGAATAAAGCATTAAAATTGACAATCCGAGGATTAATATAACATACCAAACAATGTAAAAAATAATACCAGGATAACTAATCTCAGGATAACTAATCCCAACATAACTTGTCTTCAAACCAAATCGTTTAGTTCGCGGATAAAATTATGTTGGGATTATAATATAGAAATTATATCCCTAGATTAGTTAGTACTTCTGATTTGTTTGATTTACTGCACTATTTTTGGGATATATTGTACATTATATGATCTGAAACATGTGTTCAATTTTAAATTGGATAAATTTGGATGAACTTTCGTGTTCAATTTCAACCTTAATCTTCTTAATTATTGTGAAAAAGGCTTTGGAGAAGGATAATTTTGTCATTTATCTTGTTTGATCTAGATATAGCTAATTCTGGATTGTTATCTCACATTAGATGTGGTATAAAATTTATACTACATGGAAAAATATTACTTATAACAAAAATAGAAATGTGACGAAACGAAGCATTAAAATATAGTATTGAATTTGATATCATAATTATTTTCATAATCCCGGTCACCTAATGATGCCCTTAAAGTTGATTATATCCCAAAATCTTGTTAAATCGAATGTGAACCCCGTGTAGTTGGTCTTGGATATAAGATTTCTACACCTAATAAGTAATAATCCAAAAGAAAATTACTCAAATAAAAGATATTCTTTTTAAAGAGAATCCGATAAAGTGAGTTAATAAATTAATTCAAGAAAATATTTGAAAAAGATTAGACATATAACATGTGGAAATATGCGCAAAGGGAGTATGTCCAGTCATTTTCATGCATTCACATATATATATGGACTATTTGAACTAAGAAAAACAGCATAATACCATTACCCATCACCGATACTCTATTATTTTTTGGATAAAATTACCAAAAAAGAATATTTTGTGGAATGTATTCTAAATTCTGGTTCTAAAAATCTGATGCTTTTGAGCTACTGTGAGTAGTGATTTGAGTAATGGAATTTTAGACATATGAAAAAAAGCATAAAGAGAGAAGGAAAAGCAGATCTAGAAATTGAATTGGTGAGACCACACTTGAAGTATGGAACTGATATCTTCAGAGAAGTACTTCAATCTCTTCATGTCTCTCCTTTTTCTTTTAACTTTTATTTTTTCGCAAAACAATACTTTATTTACTGTGCCGAACGTAGCTTATCGATCAATGAAGTGGATATAAATCATAAGAAATCAAAAGACAAAAAAAACGATAATTTCTTCTCATTTATCTAAATTTTAGTATGTAGAGTTATCTGGTATTTGTGTTGGTGAGAGGTAGCAGGTATCCAATGCATAAGTTAAGGTGCGTCCAAGCTGGCCGGACACAATAGTAGTTCAGGAAAAAGGTATTTTCTGATTTTTGCACCTAACTAAAATCATTGTATTTCTTTTCTTTACTTAGTTTTCTTGTAAAGAATATATTTAAAAAAGCAATATATTAGCTTTCAAAATTGCACCTGTCTGTTGTTCTATCTCTCTCAATCTTTTCTGCGATTAAAATTAATTTGCATAACCTTTTAAAAGAATTCCACTATCTCTGGTGGTGTTCGACCTAAAAATCTTGCAACTTTTGAATTGTTAAATGAACTCCACAAATCCTTAGTCTATTTTTTTTTCTTTCTTTTCACCAATCCATTGTTTCTCTCTTTGATTTTTTGTGTCTCCTAGGAAGGATGTGAAAAACATGTTGCAGTTGAACTAAGAGTCACGTCCTCTCTATATGGAGATTATAAAATATTATGGTTTGTTTGGTTAATACTTTTCAATTTATTTAATCTTTGTTTGATTATATCACTTTTATGTTAATTAGAATCAAAGTCTGTGTGAAAATCACTTCACTTCTTCATTGATGGCCACGTATTTTTGAAATAAATATATATACTAATATAAAAGCATTATTGTAAATAGCCTGAACCATCTATATACCTCAAAAGATACTGGCGTTAACTTCGACATTTGATAAAAATGACTCATGTGATTCGGTAAAATTCACTGCCTTAGGACTCAAAATGCATTATTAACTCTAAATTGTGAATCCTCCTCCAAATATAAGACATGAAAGAACACTTTATAATAGCCATAAAATTCTAGGAAAAAAAAAGTTAAAGTTACACTTGCTATTTCAGCCATTACTTTCTGGAAAAAAGTTAAACAATCATTGAAAATTTTATTTCTTTGTTGAGACTAATGAAAGTAGGAGATGAAGGTATATTGACTAAGACCGGCACTTTGGATGTAAACGTGTTATTAATACAATTCATACGATAGCAGAAATACAATAAATTTGTTTTCGGTTACGTTATCAGAATTGCTGAATTTCATAGATGGGTTGTGTTGCACGGAAATGAGAGGACATAAAAATTATAACAACCCATTAAAATTTCACACGTGAAGGGTCTGGGGAGGGTAGTGTGTACACAGACCTTACTCCTACCCCGATGGAGTAGAGAGACTGTTTTTAATAGATCATCGGCTCAAGAAAAGAGACAAAAAAATGAAAAGAGACAAAGAGGACATAAAAATTCACATTAAAAAAAAAAGGAGAAAAAAAAATCACAAAGATAAATTAGAATTTGTTTGTAAGTTTTGACAAGATAGTATTCAATCAGCATTCTATAATTCATACAATAGGACAAATGTGTAATGATATACAAAAATTTGCATCACTAAATTGTAACCTTAGACTAGACTTTCTATACCAACTTGGATCGGCAATAGGGACAAGACCAATTCCTCCTTAAAAGCCATTCTAAAATGCAAACTTCATGGTAGACATGGGAACATTGATTAATACAAGAAACAATAGAACCTTCTAAAAATTCTTCCCAACAAATCGAACACGTGTCCTTAATTTCACTAGCTTCAAATCTCATCTTCTTGATCCCAACTTTTTTCTGCAATTCGTGTATTCAACTCTCCTTGAGTACTTAGCTATGTCTTCAAATTATAGTCTTGTCCCATGTTGTTATACATCTCCATAAATTTCCTGTGGGGTAAATAAGTAATCTTTGAAATCTCCAAATTCATGAACCAGCAGTCTTCTTTAGATGAGCAGTCCTTCATACTCTGAGCAAACTTCATTGTCTTGAATATCAACGTGTCTTTGTTTGCCAATGTGGTATTGCTAATATTAAAATCTTTATATCCTATACTTCTCCACTTTAGCTTGTGATCTAAAGAGAAAGGAACATTCATCAAACATATTATTTTTGATATAATGTTCTAAGCATCATGATCTGAAAAGTTTGTTCGGTTATATGATCTGAGATGTAGTACGAAGAAGACAAGGCTGATGAACAACGCATTACAACAACAGAAACCTTAAGTGGAAAACCAATTGCGCTGTGTACGGTTTGATTGTTATCGAATTTACACAAATTTTCTCTTAAAAGCATAGCACCACCGTTTGATTGTGAACATGTCACACATACATCGGTACCTTCTTTGAACAAGCAACTTGGTACTAATGTAAATGTTCTAGGCGCAGCACGCTTTCTTACTAGACTTCGTAGTTTCGGCATTGTATTTGCTAAAAGAGCAGGAATAGGTAGTGCGGATGTGAAATTATAGGGAGCAATTGCTTTTATAAATTCACTGGGAGCGGTAATCCTATAGGAATTGGGTTTTGAATCCCAACCATAATTCTATAGGGAATGGGTTTTAATTCCCCAAACGAATTGGAAATTCAGCTTTTGGCTCAATTCAGTTTTGAATCCCAACTCCCAACCATAATCCTAAAGGGAATGGGTTTTAATTCCCAAAAGGAATTGGAAATTTCATTTCAGTTTTAGGTTCCATTTCCCCCCTTCTATTTATGATAGTTTCCGCCTTTTTCTAATGTCTGATTTTCATTTTTCATATTTGATTTTACAAAATTAACCTTGTCAAAGCTTTTTTGACCAACACTTAAACTAATAATTTAAGAAAAATACATTAACTTCTATAATTTTCTTTAAATAAAAAGGAGAAATTTGGTCGTTAGATGGGTGGTTGAGTTAGGACAAATTAGAGTTAAATCATAACCCATTAATTAATTTACATGTTTTGACCCGATCAAGTTTGATCAACTAGTCCATTTGCCACCTTTTATCATGGGATTTTTAGACAAATAGCCAGTCATATTAATTATTTATTTTTTCTATCCATATACATTGATTATATTTTTAATACATAAATTATGCATATAATATATATTGGCTGACTATTTTTAGTTCAAGTTGTAAGGTGGGCGGCTATTTGGGTTAATTCTTTCTTTTATATTATTAGAAACTACACAAATTCTAAAGACCTTTGCGCACTTGCATTCCATGATCCATCATTGTTCATCTAGCAACCTCCGCCCCATCTATGCGATGAGACCCAGAATAAACTTATCTTAGTAGCAATATGCAATCTCCCACCCTCTTTCGGTATCGGCTCGCGCGCACACAAATGAAGCTGAACCAAAAAAGCTGCAACCAAATCCATGAAAGGATGCACAAATAAATGAGCGAATACATAAGCAATACATCAATTGAAAGGAACTAATGCTTAGTTCAGCTGCATAAAGTATGGGCATAGTCCAAAAGGTAAGTCTCGAGACAAAAGGAATGTCATTTGTATTCTAAATCACCTTAGCAACCACGAACCATCATGTGGTGCTAAAGGATTCACAAATCCTACAAGTTCAGTTTCTCTCAAGTA